TCTGAAATCAAACCTGGGGGGTACAGCCTTCATTGTGTGGCCTTTTTGACTATTTTGAGGAATAGCCTCATCCTGAAAGCAGGAAAGGGGGAACAGAGAGATCAGAGTATAAAGGCGACAATGATGAGTGGCCCCTGCAGCAGCCCAGCAGGCAGAGGGCAGGGCTTTAAATTACCGCGCAGCAAAGCAGGAGGCTCTGCAACAAATGCTGCACCTAAAACCCCCAAAACTTCATACCCATCATGCTATTTCCTATTACAGCTTAGTGATTTTTACAATGGGCTTTGCTGGAATTGGAAACTGAGTGTTAGTGTATGTCCTGATGCCATCTTAAGATGTGCTATCACTTATAGCCATGTGACTTTAGGCAATTGATTTAAGTTCTTGAGCCTCAATGTTTTAACCTATAAAATGGAAAGAATGGTAGTCATTATGCAGATGTACTGGGGGGGTTAGCTACTATTAATATTATTATCATAGTTATATTTATTATTTCCACCCAATATTCCCTTTTGCCTATCTTTTCTAATCGCCATCTAAGATGTTCTTCTTTACAAGTGGAACATGAACATTACCTTAAGTGCTACTGGCTTTTTTTTTTGTTCCCTGTAGTCTGCTCACAGCCACATGTTGCCATTTTTAGAACCATGCCACTCTCATCAAGTGAGTTCTCTACCTTCCTTAACCAAACCCCAGAGAACCCCTCACTGTAACCTGCTCCTCACCAGCTTTTCTCCCTCCCACACTTATTCTCAATGTCCTTGATAACCGAGGCTCAAAGTGGAAGAAAAACAATGCCAGGGCAACACAGCTAGTTGGCAGCAAAGTCTCAATTATAACCCATTTATGAATGCAACAAAGTGCACTAGCTCTGCACTGGCTGCATCACATTAATTACTCACTTTTAGGGTTCCCAGTAATGATTTTAAATCGGAGGTTAGCTTCCCTTAACACCAGGTCTTCTCCTAGATGCTTCCCTTGCTAGTCAGTTTTTCATCACAAATATGAATTACAGTTGACCATTGAATAACACAGGTTTGAATGGCAAGATCCACTTATATGTGCATTTTCTTCTGCCTCTATCACCCCTGAGACAGCACGACCAACCCCACCTCTTCCTCCTCCTCAGCCTACTCAATGTGAAAACAACAAGAATGAAGACCTTTACGATGATCCACTTCTACTTAATGAATAATAAATGTATTTTTTCTTCCTTAGGATTTTCTTTTTTTTTGAGACAGGGTCTCACTCTGTCATCCAGGCTAGAGTGCAGTAGTGTCATCATAGCTCACCGCATCCTCAAACTCCTGGGGCTGAGGTGATCCTCCCACCTCAGCCTCTCAAGAAACTGGGAGTACAGGCACGTGCCACCACACCCTGCTAAGTTTTTAAATTTTTTGTAGAGTCAGGATCTCACTATGTTGCTCAGGCTGGTCTCGAACTCGTGGCCTCAAGAGATCCTCCCACTTCAGCCTCCCAAAGTGCTAGGATTACAGGCGTGAGCCACTGTGCCTGGCCAGGATTTTCCTAATAACATTTTCCTTTCTGTAGTTTACTTTTATTTTAAGAGTACAGTGTATAATACATAACACACAAATATCAACTGTTTATGTTATCAGTAAGACTTCTAGTCAATAGTAGGCTATTAGTTACATTTTGGGGAAGTCAAAAGTTATACTCAGATCTTTGACAGCACAAGGGGGTTGGTGCCTCTAACTCCCTCATTGTTCAAGGGAAAACTGTATTTCAAATGACTAAAAAATAATCCCAGAAAATTATTAAATATATCTCAAGGTTCTGGGTTTCTTTTTTTTTTTTAATATTGCCCTAAAGTAGAGACAAGAATTGGTCACATAAGGTCCCACCCAGGATCAGAAGAGTTTAGGAGGAGAGAGGATGGAGATCATAGGAAGTTGGGATGTGAAAACTCCAACATAGGCAGTACTGGCTATGTGAAACCCCAGAAGGGATGGAGTATAAAACACAAGTATCCAGCTCAAAGTTTCTAAACATAAAGGCTATCCGTGTCTTTTAATCTGATTGTACAAGAATATGTGAAGATGGAAATTTCATTAATGTTGGCTTCTTTGGAGAGTCATATTATTCTTCAAAATAATGAAAACTGAGAAGATGGGTAACAGGATGTAATGTGTTGTTTTATGTAAGAGCCAGAGTGTTTACCAAAGTCTAACCCTGAGGCCTGTGGAGAAGAGATTGAAAGCTTCTATTTCCTCATCTGTAAAGCAGATGAAGTGCCGGGAAGAATGAGATGATACACGGATCATCTATAAAGCACCATTTGTTTTTGTTTAAGTATAGTGTGGAATAGTGTAACTAATACAGGATTTCACATCAGTGAAGGTTCAAGTTCAACCTTGATATACGCCAGCTGTTTAATCTTGCAGAAATCATTCAAACACATTTAATGATGTAAAAATTAAAGGAACGATATGCGTATGTTTGTGTGGGGGAGAGATGTTTTAATACAAATAGCTATATAAATGTAAGATGTTTTATATTATACCAGGTTAAGTAAACCACGGCCTTATATTCATTATTTCCTAATCTTTGGGGTGGGAGTGAGAATGGAGAGAACTGAGGGACTCCTACAGCAGAAACATCATTCAGGTAATAGAAAATCATCTCTACCACTTAATGGAGATAGGAAAATAATAAAGTTGTGGCCTTCATATTAAAGGTTAACTACTGGCTGGGCGTGGTGGCTCATGCCTGCAATCCCAACACTTTGGGAGGCAAGGGTGGGAGGAGGGCTTGAGGCCAGGAGTCCAAGACCAGCCCAGGCACCATAGCAAGACTCTATCTCTGCAAAAAATAGAAAAATTAGCCAGGAATGGTGGTGTGCACCTGTAGTCCCAGCTACTTGGGAGGCTGAGACAGAAGGATCACTTGAGCCCAGGAGTTAAAAGTTACAGTGAACTATGATCATCCCACTGCCCTCCAGCCTGGGTGGCAGAGCAAGACCAGAGGAAAAAAAAAATCGTAACTGCCTACCTCCTACCTCAATATATGCCAATCAGGTGAATAATCTCTCCTCTCAAACACATGCTGTTCTCTCATACAAAACAGTTGCCAGGATTAATTACAAGTGTATCATTGGTGATAGGGGATTTTCTCCATGGATCTGAACTAGTCACCCTATAGTCCAGATCACAAGTAAGAATGAAAATCTTTTCATGGAAATATAGCAGGGAAGGGCCGACTCTAACATCATTTGTTCATTTACTCAGTCTCTCTTTTATACTAGGATCTATTTCAAATGCTAGGGATTCAACAGTGAACAAAAACAGAAAGTTCCTGCCATCGTGGGGCTCATATTCTAGCAGAGACGTACTGACAGTGAACAAATTTGCAGTAGGTCAACGGTAATTAAAAGCTACAGAGAAAAACGGGCAGGGAAATGGACTGCGATTTTAAATAGGGCAGTCAAGGAAGGCTTCGCTGGGAACATGCCACGTAAGCAAAGACCTAAAGGAGATGAGTAAGGCATATGGATGTATGGGGCGAGAGTAGAGGAGCTATACAAACCTCTCCAGCAACTTTCGGTAAGACAAAACGCAACCTCTTACCTTTCAAAAGGGGCTGGAAGGTTGGAATCTCTTGCAGCTTGATGACGTCAGGATCGTTGCTGACATTCCGTGAGGCCTGGGAGCCCTGAGCTACAACCACAATATCATCCATCTTGGCTCTATGCTTGGCTGGAGAAGGAGTCACTGAAAATAAAGTTACACGGCTTAGGAGTTGCATGTTAGTTGGCCACCTCTGCCTCACCAAAGCTGTTTTCAGGATAGTCATTAAAAAGAATATTTTTACACAACAAAATGTAGTTATCTTGCACTGGGGGTGGGGGGATGAATTATGGAAAACCCCTATTTTCTACACTATTAAAAACTCAGACATTACAGGAACAGATAACATGTATGAATTTCTTTTATGACTAAACATATTTTATTATTCAGCACACAAAAGTATAGGTCTTTTGTTTTTAATTTCCCCTTAATTTTCCTGATCGTTCTGATACATACCCCTATTTTAAGAATGAGAAGAGGATACAATATCTGATTGTGACTTGTCCAAGGTCAGTAGTGCTAGAATTAGTTAGGAAACGAACTGCAGGTCTGTGAAGTCCCCTAATTAGTCCAATAATCAGCACGTCCATTCTAGGCTGAGGCTACCTATCCACCCCATCACAGCGGTCCAGGTACGTTTCATAAATCTTAGTCAGGGGAAAAAACCCCGGTCTCAACCCCAGATGATGGGCCGATGGGTCTATTCCTGAGGCTCCAGCCCCCTCATTCTTTTTTTTTTTTTTTTTAAGAGATGGGGTCTATGTTGCCCAGGCTGGATTCAAACTCCTGGGTTCAGCAAGCCTCCTGCCTCAGCCTCCCAAGTAGTTGAGACTACAGCCCCCCACACTCTTAAAGTTACAGCATTAGTCCAGGAAGGGACTAATTAGTCCAATAATCAGTAGGTCCCTTCTAGGCTGAGGCAGAATTCAGAAATTTGGAGGACTGCTAGGTCAAGTTCCTTGGGAGAATGTAATCCACTTGGAGGGAAGTGATTCAAACTATAAAAGAATCCCCAAGCCAAGACATCCTCCTCCCCCCAGATGTTAATATCTTTCTAGCTGGAGCAAGAATGAATCTTTAAAGTGTTCTATGCTCTGGAAGGTAATATTCTCAGGTTCATTACGGTCACATCTCTAAGAGTGATCCAGGGATGCCATAGAACTGCTCTGCCTCCTGTAAGTTAGTCTCCTGAGGCTTGGCAGTCAGACCTTTCACAAAATTTCTGCTTTTATTGCTCAAGAAAGATTTCTTAACCTCTTTTGGTAATTTATCTAACGTTTTACAAAAGCCATGTGAGAAATCTTTCCTGATACATAGTAAGTGTGATTCCTCATTCCCCAGACGTCCAAGGAAAGGGGTCTTCACAACATTCTAGCTAACTATTACCTTATCTGTAAAGAGGGGTTACTATAAGAGTTAAAGGTAAACATGTGTAAAGCACTTGGCACAAGGGAATAGTCAAATTCTAACATCAGAAATGAGCCTGTAGTCTCAGCTACTCAGGACTTGGGAGGATTTTGAGCCCAGGAGGGCAACACACTGGGACCCCATCTCTTAAAAAAAAAAAAAGAAAGAAAGAAAGAGAAAGAAAATGAGCCTGTGCTATGCGTTTATTGGCAAGCAATCATATTAGCATATTTAAAAGATGCCACACTCCTTCTCCCAAAATACGTTTCTGGCTTGTCATAGAGGCAAGAAATAAGAGGCAGCAATTATTGCCATATTTGTTATAATAGATATGACACTCTGGGTCTTCCAAGGAAGAAGAAGAATGTAACAAAGCTAGTAGATGCTGCTCATCATTCAAGCTGTTCCAAATCCAGCCCCCAGAATGAAGGACACACTCCAGTGTGAAACATCCCTAGATCTGTTAGCTTCCACACTTCTGAATTACAAATCCTACCAAGAACAGAGCAGCTCTAAGACCAGGGAACTCTCTTTAGGCCCCAGATTTAACCAGTTTGGATTAGCAACCCCAGAGCTTATCTGTGGCCCTTCCAGCTGTCCTAGGGTTTGTAACAACGATAAAAAAAAAAAAAGCAAAAGGTCCTCAGTTGAACATCAGCTGTTTTATTTATTGAGCACTCACTATATTCCAATCCCATTCCCACTTGAAAAGCTGAGAGAAATCTAAAAAAACTACCTTGGGGGAACAGGGGAAACACCAGAGCCTGCTATCTGGCCAACCTCCATAATATTAGAAAGGGGACCAAGACGCCTTCTGAGGAGAATAAGCTGCTTCTGGAGAGGTTCGCACCCAAGGGTCAAAGCAATTGTACACCTATCACACATCTCTCCTGAAAAGGAACCTCTAAAACCCGTTTTTAAAAAAGAGCCAATTCTTACAGGTCCTGTCTATGGTCCATTCACTGTGTGAGCTAAATCTCACTACGTTAGCCATAAGCACTAGAGCCAAAAATCAATTAGGTCGTCCTTTAAAGAGTAGGCTGTAGCTTGGGAGTAACTGCTGTTTTGAAAACAAACAAGGGGCACGGGCGCCCACGCTGGCTTAGCTTGCAGTCATAGCCACTCACTTCCATCAGGGGAATCAAGGCTAGGGCAGATGGTGATTTTTTTTTTTTTTTAATAGCATGGTGACGGCTTCCAATGCGTTCCCGTCCGCCATCCCAGACCCCACTAGGCTGAGAAGCAGCCCGCTCCACGAGCAGACGGGGCCGGCTGGAGGAGGGTGGGAGGTTAGGACACCGACCTGAGGAGTTCAGATCGTTGGGTCGGCTCTCGGCCTCGGAGCTCTGCTCACTGCCCATGGTGCCGGCAGCGGTGGCAGCGGAAGAACGGCGGGCAGGGCGGTCACAGCTCCAGCGGCGGGGCGACAGGACAGGGGCCCGGGACCCGGAGGCCGCACAAAATCTGGGCGCCGCAGTGAGGCCAAAGTGTAGGGATGGAGCGCTCAGCCCACGCAGGGCTTGGGCGGCGGGGGATGGGGAGGCCCTAATTGGGGAACAGAAACGAAGGAGGAGCGGTGCGAATGCACGCTGCTCGCCCTCCTTCTTTAGGGGAGCCCTATGAGAAGAGGCGGAGGACACTAGCTTTGCCTCGCCGGCAACCGGCGGGCGTCGCCGCTTTCACTCACTGGTTCAAGTGCCGCAGGATGGCTCCTTCCGGGGACGCGGATTGGCGGCGCCGGCTACGAGCAGCCGTCAGTTCCGGGTTAGGAAGCCCCACCCCCGGCCTGGGGAGGATTGGGGAGAACCTCGCCAGCTACTAGGGCAACGCCGCCTTAAAGGGCCCGACAGCCCCAAAGCGAAAAATGCCGCGAAGGGTCGGCCCTTTCCTCTTGTAATGATGCGTTACCTTTAAACACCGCCTACATATGAGGCTCTTTCCTACCCACATATTAGAACAACTTTACAAAACAAGTATTTTTAACCCTGTTTTACGGATGGAGAAAGAGCGATACTAAATAGACCCAATTGAATCCACAATTGTCTAGGTGCAACTTTTTGTTAATAAGTTCCGAAAAGCTGCGAGTTCGGCGGTGGACGACCATACAGAAAATACTAGGAGGTGGTAAAAGAAGGAGCTGGAAATAAGAGAAAAATTAAGAAACAGAAAATGTGGATTCACGTATTAGGGAATGTACATCTTCAAAGAGAAATGAGTGACCCTACAGTTCAGGGCGGCACTTTCTGGGGACCTGGACAATTACCGACAAGTCACTCTGAAATTGGCATAAGGCAGGAGGGAGTACAAGTAATGCAAAAAGGAAACTGCCAATTTTGTCAGGTCAAGGAGGTAAACCTAGCAATGCAATGCCATGAAGGAGGTAGGTGGCTCTGGGGTACTCGGAGCTTTGCAAGTCATTTTATAATGTTTGCTTCAAGAAATTACAAGTAGGCCGGGCGCAGTGGCTCACGCCTGTAATCCTAGCTCTCTGGGAGGCCCAGGCGGTGGATTGTTTGAACTCAGGAGTTCGAAACCAGCCTCAGCAAGAGCGAGACCCCGTCTCTACTAAAATTAGAAAGAAATTAATTGGACAACTAAAAATATGTAGAAAAAATTAGCCGGGCATGGTGGCGCATGCCTGTAGTCCCAGCTACTTGGGAGGCTGAGGCAGGAGGATTGCTTGAGCCCAGGAGTTTGAGGTTGCTGTGAGCTAGGCTGATGCCACGGCACTCTAGCCCGGGCAACACAGTGAGACTCTATCTCAAAAAAAAAAAAAAAAAAGAAATTACAAGTAAATACCCTGAGCTTTTATATGTGTCTGGGAAGGAGATTTACATAAACCACAAGGCTGATGGAACTGGAAGGGCCAGCTGAGCAAGGAGACTATTCCCTCCTGAAGAGCCCTTGGCTCCACTCCCAGGTTGCCCTCTTTGCAGGATAGGAGAGGGAGGAGGTAAAGGTGGGGAGGGGCGGAGAATAACTCATTCCTGCTTTTGTTCCCCCTCTTCCACATCAAAGTGTATTTGTCTGTGTTCCATACTCTAATCCATACTGTTGTGATGGGTTTTTTTTTATGTTTCCCTTTGTATAAACATTTCATTCTAAAAGGGAAATTCTATCCATCAACTGATGAATGGATAAATAAAATGTGGTATATCTTTATAATGGAATATTATTCAGCCCAAAAAAGAAGGGGGATGAAGTACTGATACATGCGGCAACATAGATAAGCCTTGAAAACATTATGCTAAGTGAAAAAGGCCTATCACAAAAGACCAAATACTGTAGATTCCATTTATATGAAATGTCCAGGACCCAAAGAGGTTAGTGGTTGCCTAAGGCTGTGAAGCAGGGGGTGGAGGGGAACTAGGGAGTGACTATTAATGGGCATGGGAGTTGCTTTCTGGAGTTAATGAAATTGTTCTAAAATTGTAGTGATGGATGCACAACTCTGAATAAAGACCACCAAAGTATACACTTTATATAGGTGAATTGCATAGTATGTGAATTATATCTCCATAAAACTGTAGTCAGAAAAAGGATATCCCTGAAGACAAAATGCCCTCATTCACTGACTCATCATTTCTTGGGAACCTCTAATGTGTCAGGCACTTGCTAGACAGAGGCTGAGAATAAAAGATCCAACAAGGCCCAGTCCTTATCCTTAGGGAGCTTATAGTCTGGTGGCAAGAAAATTAAATGAGCATTTATAATGTAAGGATTCTGCTGGAGGGGCTTTAGAGGTAGGAGATATTTGGGATTGATGCCTTTTAGCCCCTTAAAATCATTTCCGCATGAGCTGCAAACTGTTATTGTATATGGAATAACTAACAACTGAACAGCCCTTTAAAGTTTATAAAGCACGTTCATATGTATTAGACCTGTATGATTGTAAGTACCCCCAAGGGTCATTGAGACTATAACACTAGGCTAGCTAAAGGGAAGCCATCTTGCTTCTAGTATGCGTTTGATTTGTTCTGTCTTAAAAGTTTAGAATTAACCTGCTGCTTGCTTACACACCTGCCAGGCACAAGATTAGATAATGACCTTGGGCCCTGTGTGGTGGCTCACGCCTATAATCCTAGCACTCTGGGTAGCCTGAGGAGGCGGGAGGATTGCTTGAGCTCAGAAGTTTGAGACCAGCCTGAGCAAGAGCGAGACCCTGTCTCTACTAAAATAGAAAAATTAGCTGAGCACAGTGTTGTGTTTCTGTAGTCCCAGCTACTCGGGAGGCTGAGGCAGAAGGATCGCTTGAGCCCAGGAGTTTGAGGGTGCAGTGAGGTATGATGACGCTACTGTACTCTAGCTGGGGCAACAAGGCAAGACTCTGCCAGGAAAGGAGAGGAGAGGAGAGGGGAGTAGAGGGGAGGGGAGGGGAGGGGGAAGGGGAGAAAAGAAAAGAAAAGAAAAGAGAAGAAAACAAAACAATCTTGAGGAAAAACAGATCAAGAGTCCTGAATAGGCCAACCACAGACCCCTGATGACAAGATCCACCACACGACCTGTTGTTTGCTGCTAACCATGGAGCAAGTCATGATGCCTTGCACAAAGCTTGCTTTCTGCCACTGAGCCCCTTTACCCCTTCACCCCTTCCCTTTATAAGTTGCCTGGTAAGGAGAGGAGATGAGATGGTCTTTGAGACAATAGTCCGCCATCTCCTCAGGCTGCTGGCACACTTGAATAAAACACCTTTCCTTCACCGACACTCTCCTGTCATTGCCTGGTTCTTGGATGGCAGGCAGCTGAACCTGCCGCAACATGATCTGCGTGTTTTACCACTTTCCTAATTTTACAGAAAAGTTAAGTGATTTATTCTTGGTCACACAACTAATAAATGATAAAACCAGGACTGAGGTTTTCTAAAACTCATTATGCCTCTGTCCACTCCAGACTGGCTCCTCCTGCCGTGTCTTTCTTTACCTGACCTGGCATTCCCATCCAGCCGGGCTCCCAAGCCAGAAGCCTGCTAACCCTCACCACGACGTCCAACCAGTCGCTAAGTCCCGGAGAACCTCTCCCCTTCATTTCTCTTCTGTCTCCACACCTACTTCAGGGCCTCATCGCTTCTTCCATTTCTTGGACGGAAGGCCTCTGGCCTCACTTCCTTCAATCCATCCCTCATGTGGCAGGCAGAGAGAATTTTCTAGAATATTAATCAGGTCTCTGGATCTGTCACTGCCCTACTAAAAACCTTCAGTAACTCCCTGTGTCTTTAGGATAAAGTTTAAAACTTAGCTATGCAAATACCTTCTTGCTCTGACCCCAGCCTCTCTGTTCCTTCCTCTGAGTACACAGGCAGCCTTCGTGACAGTCAGGCTGAATTCCCTGATGGTGGTGTTGTTTCCTCTGTCTGGAATATTCAGTCTTTTTCTCCCCATCTAGCTAGCTGAACTTCATCCTTCAAGAATTAACTTACATATGTCCTCCTGGAAGTCAGAATCAGATGTTCCTCCTCTGGGCTTCCTTAGTTAGCATCTTCTATCATAACATTTATTCTTTACACAGCTATTGTTTAACTTATCTGTTTCCCCCACTGAATTATAAACATCTTGAAGGTAGATCCTCTGTCTTATTGGTTGTTAATTTCCCCTGCACATGCTTAATACATCTTTCCCAATTAAAATACTTTTTTTGGCCAGGAGGGGTTTGCTCACACTTATAATCCCAGCACTTTGGGAGGCTGAGGCGGGAGGATTGTCTGAGGCCAGAAGTTTGAGACCAGCCTGGGCAACATAGTGAAGTCCCCATCTTTACAAAAGATAAAAATTAGTTGGGCGTGGTGGTGAGCCTATAGTCCTAACTACTTGGGAAGCTGAGGCAGGAGGATCCCTTGAACCCAGGAGCTTGAGGCTGCAGTGAGCTGT